CAGGATTAGAAGCATTTCCATGTCTTCCAAAAGGACTCTTTTTTATGCGTTGAGAATTATGTGGCCTCCTAGTTACTCTGATGTAGGTCATGGAGTGCTGTAACCAAATTCTGTTACAGAGACTAAATTTTCTATTTTATAGCTCTTATCTAACCCCTTGCCTCACTCCTCTCTAGTCTTTAGTTCTAACCACTATTCATCTAGGTTATTCTATGAGGTCAGCTTTTTACTTTCCAAAATATAGTGGGAAGATGTGGTATCACTTTTACTGTGTCTGCCTTATTTCTCACTTAGCACAATAAACATCCCTGAACTATAAACCCTGAGTAGAGGGAACCTTTATAATGAGTTTAGTAAGGGTGGTCTTGGATCTGCCTGCTCCTCTGAGCCTTTTAGTATTCTTATCTTAGAGATGGAAGAAAAAAAATACTTAAAAGTCATCCTAAGAACAATTACAGTTGGCATTATATTTACCCACAGAAACAAATATGCTACTTATTGTAATAGAGTCATGTTCCTTTTCAAGAAGAAAATTTTAAGTCAATTTTGTACTTTAAAAAATTCGTGGACCATGGAGGGATGCTCTCTAGGCCTGGACACATGGTGGTGGACCTAGGCCCTGCCCTGGGTTATATGATAAACTCTGAAAATCCCTCATGGAAAGCCTTACCCTCCCTGGGGAGCAGAAGGGAGATGGAGTGGGATGGGGGGCTGGGAGGAATGGGGAGCCAGGGGAGGAGGAGTGAGAAAGGGAACTGAGAGTAATATGTGTAAAAAGTTAAATAAAATTTAAAAACATAAAATAAAAAATCACATTTTAAGACAGAAAAAATTTGTGGACATTTTTTCAACCACTATTACAGATGATCTTTGAAACATTAGCTAAATTAAAAGAATAAAACACACGAACATCGACTCCCTTTATAAGGAAATGGGTATCAGGTAAAGGAGCAGTGTCCTGTGGACACAGCCTGCTGTTAAGAACATAGTGTAGCTAAGCTACAGTCAGAAATACAAGCTGTATTTATCATGCCACAGATTCCAAGCCAATGCTCCATTTATTCTACAGTGGTATCTTGTGAGATAAGCTAAGGGCATAATCCAATGAGTTCATATATTAATATAAACTGTAGATGGCAATTTACCTCACTGTTTAAACAACCGTCAGTCATTACATCTGAACAGAAAGGCTTTCTGAAGTGGTTTTCAATCAGCAGTGAATGCCAGAATTGACTGGGGCTCTTGAAAAGATATCCACACCCTGGTCTTACTTAGATATGAAAACTCAAGGGTGAGAAGGGCCAGGAATGGCAAGTGCTTTTGTTTCCTAGATGGCTTTAACGGGGAAAACACATCCTCATCCTTTCCCTACTCCCTAGTTGTGCTCTTTTCTCATTATTTTGTCTTATAGAAATTTACACTTGCACAGTTATTAGATGCTGTGGAATATTGGTTAAAGATGTGTTGCATTTGTTTATGCTGTGCAGTATTTGTTTAATGATGCAAAGATGTGCTGCATTCTTCTATGTTGCATTTGTTTAACTCTGTAAAGTTGTGTTCCCTTTGCCTGTCTAAAACACCTGATTGGTCTAATAAAGAGTCGAACTGCCGATAGCTAGACAGGGGAGGGATAGGTGGAGCTGCCATGCAGAGAGAATAAATAGGAGACATCTAGAGAAGAGGAAGGAGAGAGAAAAGGAGGAGAGAAGGACACCAGGTGCAAGCCACACAGTCACCCACACAGCCACCGAGTAATAAGGAAAGGAAGATATATGAATAAAGAAAGATAAAAAGCCCAGGGGCAAAACATAGTTAAAGAGAAATGGGATAATTTAAGTTAAGTTAGAAAAGCTGGCTAGAAACAAGTCAGGCTAAGGCCAGGCATTAAAAGTAAGAATAAGTCTCTGTGTATTTATTTGGGAGCTGGGTGGTGGGCTCCCCAAATATTAAAAAAACCAACTACAAATAAGTATATTAATTGAAAATACATGTGAAGTCAGAGGAAAGAAAGCCAGGCCTGAGTGTACATGCCTGTAGTCCTAGCTACTCAGGAAATTGAAGCAGGATGATCTCAAGGATAAGGCCTGTCTGAGGAATTTATTGAGGCTCTTGTCTCAAAAAGGAAAACTAAGTATCTCAGATTGGTGGCATACTTGCTTAGTGTATGGGGTACCAGTCACAGTGCCACATGGAGAAGAAAAACAAACTTAGAGAAAGGAATTAAGCAATGCACATCTTTTGGAAAAGCAGTCTCCCTTGACCTCAGGGTTTTTCTGTTATTTCTTCAGTTGCCATAGTTATCCAGAGACCTCCATTTCCTCACCTCCAAGTCACACAACAAACTTTCAGGAACCCATGACTCAGGCTTTCATGTACTGTCACTAAGATACCAACATCTTCTTAATGGTTAAGCTCAATGAACACATTTAAGTGCTTAATTGCATTTCTCCTTTTTGAAGCATTCAACTGAGTCCTTTCCAGAACCTTTCATCTCATACTGCTGGTGGCGCTCTTTCTCAGGCTTTACCACTAGGCTTAGACTCTTCTCATTTCCAGTTCTATTCTTGGTCACTATTATCCTCTTGTTACCAGATCTACCTCTAAAGCTATATATTCTGTGTTGACTCCTAAGCCTCTATCATAGCCCTATTCTTTCTTAAGTTCAGATCTATGTAGCCTATATGTGTTGATCGCCATACCCTAGAAGCATTTCAGGCCCCTCCCTTGTCAGCTATCTGGCCTTAAACTGCTCTTACTTATGCCACCATCCACTGCAGAAAGAGTGAGCCATCCTAGTGCCTTCCCCATATGCCAATCTGCATTCTACATTTGCCAAATTTATTTTGCAATCTCCTTCCTATATTTACTGTCATGTCTGATTTCTGGTCTTTACTTCTCCCCTGATTAATCTTTAGACTGATGGTTCTGGCATTCTTCAACATCCTTAAACTATTGTGTACAATTTACAATTCAGACACTCCTTCTACTTCAGTACTATCGTATCCATAAATATAAAATCCTTTTCCTGTATTATAAATGAGCCCATTTGTGCATTTACAACACAATCTTATGCATTAATCCAGTGTTGCTTTAATACTTTGCTTCCTGCCCTTCGTGTTCTTGCCGTACTTAAATATTTATGATACTTTCTTGTGCTTTGAATTCTCACATTCCTCCTCTTAACAATCTGCATTTATCCTTCAATTCAGTGATCACGGATTACGCTATACCTCTAATTCTGGCTCATCCCCTGCAATCCTAGTCATGTCTCTCCTTCTTTGTTTCTGCTTGGCCTTCTGCTACCCACAGGCCTGCTCAGGCTGCACAGCCATGGTTTTTCCTCCCCACCTCCCTCATAAAGAGTGATCTCACCTCTTGCCACGGTAACTCCGAGCCAAGCACATCTCTAGCCAATATTCTTTTTACTGAAAAAAGGTGACTGGATAAAATGCAAAGTCAGAGAACTTAAATTTTCTCTTCCTCACTCACAGACTGCATTACCATGACACAAAAGGTAAACTGGCATCATAAACAAGGATGGATGAACTAAGTAGCCCCTGTGAAGCGTGTGAAACTCAACAGCAGTAACAAATTCAAGGAAGTCTGCGTGATGCACTGGTGTAAAAGCTCTGGTGGAGGCGGCAGTTAACTGGGAAAGAAGTCCTGACATGGGAACTCATCTGTCTAGAAAAAATAAAACAAAAATCTGTTTCTTCACCTCTAGGACTTTAACCTTTGTGTGTCTTCAGCTAAGGGCTCCCATGCTTTTACAACATGCAAAAACAATATAACAGCCCCAACCTCACCCAACGCAGTGACTTCTCTAAGTGCTTTCCTTAATCCCATTTTATGCCAATGGGTTTTTATTTTGCTGCTGTATCAGCCATGCAGGGTTTGTTTTTTATGTTGTGTCTGTGACTTCCTGGAGCCATGTAGGAATTTCAGTGCTCCATTGGTCTTATGAATGGTTGGGTCATCTTAGCATTTTGTGAGTTTTCAAGTTTCCTATCCAGTACATCACCTTGTGGAATTCTGAGTCATTTTAAAACAATAGTGTTATCTAGTTATTACTAAACCTGGATAAGCATGTTTGTTTGAATCTGACAGGTTTAACACTACAAGAAACAGTATGCTTTGATGTTCAATATTTAACTCAGTGTAGTAATACCCTGTTGATATACATTTTCTCAAGCTTAGGAGTGCTAAGAGTATTCTAATAGCAACCAGGAAAGGGGCAATAGCCTAGTGGCGTATGGCCTTGGATGACAAGCACCGAGAAATGTCAGTGCTCCTATGTAATGTAGGCACTGATGTCACACCCTGTCTTAAGCTTCTGCAATATATGACTATTCCCTTGAGGCTTCTTTATTTTGTTTTGATTTTTGTTTTGTTTTGTTTTGTTTTTGAGACAAGACCACGTATGTAACCCAGGCTGTCCTTGAATTCACTGCCTCAATCCTCCTGCCTCAGCTTTGAGGAGTGTTGGCATCATAGGTATACATCATCACTCTTGGATTCCCTTGTGGACTACTTCTTTTCTATTCTATAAGGCAGTTTTGACAGCAAAAAAAAAAAAAATGAAAAACAGCATCAGATCAGGTAAAAAAGAAACAAGGGCAGGCATCATTCTGGATGCTAAAATGATCACTTATGGTAGCTGTCATTTCTTTCCAGGAACTGTCAGAGAAACTAGGAACAATCAACAGAAAATTAAATCAGGACAAGTTTTGGATTTTATGAAAAAGCTTCAAGAAACTAATACTACTGTGTCAATTAACAGATGACGTTTGATGAGGGGAGATGAAGCGCATAGGCTAGCATAAGGACTCGGCGTCACCTGTGCAGGCACCGCCCCTACAATCCTGACACCCGACATGACATCATGAGAGACATCCCCAGCAGGATGCTGCTAGAAGCAGGGTGCATCCCTCCCCCCAAATGCTCCCTCCCATGAACATGGCTTTACAACCATGGGAAAGGAAGAGAGGAGAGAAGAAAAATAAAATAGTTCCTTTTATTTTCTTAGGCACACGAGTGATGTGGGATAGCAATTTCCAAGACATTGCACTGCTTCGCTGTTGGAATTCTCTACTGTAAATCCCAACCACCTTTGAGAACAGCTTGCAGCAATCACTCTGCAGTTCAGATATACCAGGTTATAATTTAGTTGTGAAGTCAACAGTGTCTGTTCAATATGTGAGTTTATTCGAACTCCTGAGTTTTAAATTTTCCATGAGAGAAATCCCTCTCCTCATTTAAATGGCTTTTCAGCTTAAAGCAATAACCATGAAAATATATATCCTAAATACCTTATTATAGGAGAAACCAGAAAACTCTAATCTGAGAAGCCCGATAGTATTACATGGAGTACCGTTCAGAGCCTGGGAGTAGTAGCCTTTGGCTGAAACAAAATCTCAGCACCAAGGTCATCAACCTAGTTACGATTGTTCTCCGGCTTCACAATAAACCTTCTCTTCAAATGCTCCTTTTCTGTGAATGGCATACATTTACCACACAGTAAGGATTTATTTGCACCAATATGTCACACACCTAGCAGCTTTCAAGAACTGGAAAGATAGTCTCCTGGACAACAGATTTAAATTCTAGCAACTTCTCCAGGAAGAGTCCAAAAAGCCACCACAGGCAAATACATACAATGCTGGGGGCAAGTGTGCACCTCAACCATATAGCTTGCTTACAGTGAGGGCAAATAAGTACTGACCATAACAGCTTCGCAGGAGGGAGGCTGTCTGACAGTCACGCACGTGGGCACTGGGGAAAGCCACTGTGGAATATTAGCAGCTGGTTACAGAGCATGAAGGGTAAGTATGGCTGACTCTGAATAAATCCAGTCACTTCCAAACATAAACTCAAATGAACATTCTAATGACAGAGACTTGATGATACGATTTTCATCAAAAGTACAAATTTCAATAATTCACAAATCAGATGATCAAATAAAAATGACACAAAAGCACAGTAAGAATAAACATGGTTTTAAAAAGAAGTAATACAAAGTTGTCAAAGTGACAATCTTAGGGAAAAACAGAACAAAACTTTCACCAGATATGAAAGCTAGGTGAACTCTAAATGAACATAAAGCGACGTCGGACTGTTGCTAACCAGTGTGAGAGAATCCAACATTTCATTTCTGTGAACATGCATTTCATGAATACATATGGCTGGAGGTAATATGTACCCAACCCAATATGAAACCATTGCTGCCGTAAGTCTAGCTTGCAGGGTTAGAGACAGAGTGAGCACGGCATAGCTATGTTGCACACACTGCAGTGAACATAAATATCACCTAGACACTAGCCATTAGATGCACCTATCAAATAACATGGCAATAATAGACTGCTGATTACTGGGACCCTGGGAAAGTATAGCTAGGTTAGTATTTTAGAAATGGTCAATCCATACTATTATGAAAGTTGATGATTTATTATATAAAATTATGATTGGCAGAATACAAAAAATGATTTTTTACCTTTATATATTACAAATACTGGGAAAGTGTTAACATCTGGAAGAACTCATGACAAACTACCAAATGATACTTATTTGGTGAAGTTGTTCAAGTCACAAATGCTAAGTAAATAGGATGCACTTCAAAATAAATGAGTTGTAAAACAAGTATGAAAACAGTGATCTTAAATATTAATATTCACCTAACAAAAAGTAACTAATGAGAAACACAAGAAAAATGTTGCCAAGACATACCAAAAAGAATAAATCAAATATTTCCTTTATTGGGATAGTTAAACTAAACTAAAATTTAAAACTAAATAGGCAATGGGGGCTCAAAGTACATATAGTTATTTTTTCTACCAATAACAAAAAGATCTGGAGGCCATCATGAGCTGTAGACCAAGTGCTTCTCATCACAGTTACTCTGGTCTTCTACTGCTACTCAAAGGCAAAGAAATTTATGCATCAGTAAGAGAAGGAAAATATCCTGAATAGGACAAAATGATAAACATGTTCAAATTCATCTCTAGGGTAAGACTAGAAAAATCTGCTTGCAAAGGATTACATCAGGTCAGCAGTAACCAGGGCAAAGGTTTTACTTCAAGGAAAATGCAGAGGACAGAGCTCTGATAAGTTGGAAAAGCCAGAGAAAATGAAGTACTTAAAAGAAAATGTTACCGTATCTCTACAATCTCATTTGTAACAAACAAAATCAACTAACCATTAAGTTCACAATTAAACTACTTTAAAAATAAAGCTGATTAATGAATGCACGCCATATGAATCATGTTGGATTATTGTATTCTACAGTCCTAAGTGCTGTTAGTAAACACACATGCTACAAGAAAAAGAATTGAGAAAACTTCACATTTCAGAATTCCTGAGTCTTGTCAGGGAAAAGGAATACCAAAGCTCCCCCCAAAACAGCAATAACACAGCAGATAACACAAACAAGGGCATTTTGTTAATGTTATGTTTATAGTTTTAAAGCTGAAGACTATGGGGACAAATACATAAGTACTTTAATGGAACTATAAACATGATTTTAAAGCTTGGTTCTTTTTAACGAGGCATTTTGACTAAACAAGGCCACCTGAATGACAACTTCACAGATGGTAAGCCCACCATTTTGTAGGAATAAAATATTTATTTCAAAGCCTAATTATGAATATAAAAAGGGAAATGGTTTATTAAGAGTGCTATCAGCCAGCCCTTCGATGAAGTCTAAAGGGTGAAACCAATATAATCAAATAAGAATGTGGGTCCCACTTTTGAGCCACCACCCACTAGATAAGTTCCCTTTGCTTTGCACATTACACAGTGAAAATAAACAGGAATCTTAAGAGCACTTCAGTCCCACAATGTAGGATTTAAGCTTGTATGAAAAGGTAGGGGGTGTAAAAGGCCCACAAAGACATAATGCTTGATAACATATATTCAACTGAAATACATCTATTTTCTTACAAGCAAAGAAAATGAAGCAAAGTTGTCCTACTTAAAACAAACAAGGCAATAAGAAAACAAAACAAAAGCTAAAACAAACAAAAAAACACAGTTTACCCCTTCTGGAAAGACTACCTAAGCAAAGAACATCCAACAATGATAACATTTAGAACTGCATACTTTTACTTATCTTTAAAGACAGATGCACATAACTATTTATGGGCTTTATAAATAAAAATACTAAACAGAAAAAATATTTGGGTTATTTCTCTGTTCATAAGTTCCAGCAATAAAACAATTCAATAACACTAAAGTGCACACCTATAGGCATTACAGGTATAACAAGGGGCAGCCAAAGCTGCGTCTACATTTACATTTACAAACCCAGAAAATGATTCTTGCTTTTAGAAAATTTGTGCAATTTAAAAACTAGTCAGTTTGTTTGTGCCATAACACGACAGCACTTGTATCTGCCACTAGGTAAGTGACTATAGGCCTACAGAGCACAGGAGGCTCTGACAATCAGTTTGTAAGAATCATACAATATTGATTCCACCTCCAGAAAATGTGAGGGTCCTCTTGTTGTAGAAGGAAGGGCCACTGGGGTCTGGCTGACTGCCTTTAACCAGGGAGGTTTTCAGTTCCATCTCACAAGCTATGACAGCTGCCTTCAATTCCACTTGAGCTCGATGGACTACATAAAACATGAGGCCTATGCTTATAACAATCTGTGAATAAAAACAAAACACCAGTTACCAACATCATATACGTATAAAGGCCATGAGTTCAATAAATATGCTTCATGTGCACGGTCCTCAAAGAGGGAGGTAGGAAGTCACACATTTTTAACTGCTATTTGCCATTCACTGAGCAGTCACTGTTCAATAAAATGCTGATTTGGGAATTGGAAGGGTGGGTTTCTAAAGACTGTAATTGTTTTATTTCTCCTAAAGATGCATCATATATTTTCTGAAAAGTGAATGTTTGATACCTTTCAGTAGACTATAATGGCATGTAAAGAAATGGAGAGACTGTTAGGAGAATCTGTGCTGCAGGCTGTGTAAGATGCTAAATTTGTTTACGGCACACTTACTAAACTAGGAAGGTAGTTACTAGACACAGAAGTTACAGGGAGGGGCAGGGCAGAAGACACATACTTTGTACTAGCTTTCTCCAGCAGGCACTCACTTTCTTCCTTAGTCTTACGAAGTAGAAAAGAAAAAAGGAAAGAAACAGACAGGACGCAACAGCAACCCTCTCAAGTTTCTCTATGTAAATAAAAGGAGGCCAGAGGAAGAAGCCGTCTACAGAAACACAAGTGTCTCTCCACTACTGACTGGAAAGAAGGCAGAAGATTAAGGAGAAGAGACCGCTCACATAGGATGAGGGCTTCCTACACGGAAGCTGCTGATTCTTAAGGAAGAAGACAGGCAGTCTCCTGAGGACAGAGGGAGGTCAGGAGAGGACAAGTGAAGAAGCTTGAGTTACTTCCAATCAATAGCAGAGGAGGAAGAGGACAATAAAGCAGTGGAGATGTGGGGGAGAGCTGGAACTCTGGGGGAAGCCTGTACCAGGAACTGCCGTCTGCTTCATGGTACCTTTGACCTATACAAAGCAGATCAAACTTGAACTTGTGTGGGACTGGAGTTCTGGGAAGTGAGAAGAGAAACATACAGACATGAGGAGGAGGGGATAAGCACCTATGTCTGTATGAGAACAGATACAGGTAATGTTCCAATTTTCCAATGAGCAGGCTCTCCATGGCTGCTGGCTGTAAAACCCAGAAGGCAAATGATTTGCAGCTCATTTCTAGCACAGAAAGAATCTGGCAAGTGTATTTTCTCTATTAACTATACCCTAAGCTTTGCCTTTACCTTGCCAGCATCACCTTCATGCCTACTCCCTCTCTATTCTACAATGCAGTGGCATAAAATCCTTTCTGAGGCAACTTGAAATGTAACTAACATCAACAGGCCAAACCAAAACTTGCTTCCATTTTTTTCTATAAATGTCTAAGCTAAAAATCATGTGCCTTCTTACTGTGATGTATTATAAGTTTAAATATCCCAGTTCAAACAAAGGGGTTGAAAAATTACTGGAAAAGAGATGATTCTATAGTTTTAGGAAGCACTAATGGTTGCAGTTGAGTAATTTACAAAGATGGTATAAAAATATAAAGTTTAAATGGTGAAAATACTGTGAGCTAGTGAGGAATTCTACTCAAACACCATGTTTTTAAAAAGATATTTCAGACAGACTTCAAATTTCTAGAAAACAGAAAATGATACACAATTTATCTTAAGAAACCTTAGAAATGTATTACATGCCAGAATCATCATTGCACTTTGAAATGACGCGGGTAAATAATACATAATGTACACACAAAATTTAACATTATGTGATTAGCATGCCTGTCCACATAAATAAAGCAAGCAAAACAAAATTTGTAAACTTAGATTGAATGTAAAATATTGCAAAATTGTTGAAGGAAAAGCTTTTATACAAAGTCATGATACAGAATTTGACTTGAAATGATTTTAAAACAATGCCTATGAAAAATCTGATTTTTTTTCTCATTTTGAAGAAGATATCCAATGCATTTCAACAAACTCATATACTTCTAGGTGTCCACAGATTAAAACTATTATCCATATATAAGACAGTATTAGGGCAACTATCTAAAATGAAACAATTCCTCACCTGTGGTAAGGAAACACTAGATTTAAATCATCAATACAGAGGGGTAGAGCCAGACAACTCATGATCTTAAACTCACCTGTAAACAAAAGACAAAATATCCACTAACACTTTGTTCTGTGATGACATCTTCCATCGTCCGCAGCGTGGTACCCAGGTAAGAGTTCAGAAGCTGAGTGGGAAGCAGTCCAACTGAAGATGCCATTAGATAGTTGGGTAAGGAAAGATCAGCAATCTAGGAAGTAGATTGAAGGTAACAATTTGTCATCAAGTACAAAATCACAACATGGCCTCTCTAAGTCTTACCTGCTTTCTATTCTGGGTAGAGTGAACACAGTATGGATGAAGAATCCTAACTTATTAACAATTATCAAGGGAATACATGCAAACTATAGATTTAAAATGAAATTATAGTTTAAACAAAATTTTGCTATTCTACTCTATTACTATTAAAAAAGAAATGTAATAACCATTTTTTTACCTGTACATAAAATCCACATACAGATCACCATGTAAAAACTTTTCTGAGTCCCTCTCATCTTATTAAATAAGCATCAACATTCTTAAGTGGCAATGGGGTTATTATACTTGAACAGTATACTGCAGTGTTGACAACCCAAGGAATTACTGTCTCCATCACTCTCAATGCAGAAATTGCAGCACTGTATATTTCTCTGTATCCATGCAATAATTTTTGCTTTCTTGATATTAAATAAATAAGTCCACAAAGCCTTTATGGAATATTTGTTTAACTAGACAAAGATATATCTATTCATTTATGTTGCAGAATATTACTTTAACTATGTAAAGGTGTTTTACATTTGTTTATGCTGCATTTGTTTAACGATGCAAGGATGTGTTACATTTGTTTAACCTTACATGCCTAAGGTACCTAATTTCTCTAATAAAAAGTTGAGCAGCCAGTAGCTAGGCAGGAGAGGAACAGGCAGGGCTGGTGGACAGAGAGAGTAAGGAACCTTTACTATGAGAGTAACTTCACCCCCCCCCCACCTCCATTTAAACAGTCTTGTTACATAAGAAAGTTACCACTCTATTAAACTTTTAAAGATGCTTTTGTTTGTTTGTTTGTTTGTTTGTTTGTTTTTCGAGGCAGCGTTTCTCTGTGGCTTTGGAGACTGTCCTGGAACTCTTCTTGTAGACAAGGCTGGTCTCAAACTCACAGAGATCTGCCTGCCTCTGCCACCTGAGTGCTAGGATTAAATTAAAGGCAAGCACCACCAACACCTGGCTTAAAAAATGACTTTTAAGTTCTAGTATTTTAGCTATCTACAGACAGCTGCTCTAAAACTATCATAGAATAACTGTGTAAATTATAATCTCATTACACCTGAAATAATCTGTAGTCACAAATGAACAGGAGATGCAGCACTGGGTTGGAAAGAATATTACTGCAATGAGTTGCCAATTCATTTCATCTATCACTGAGCCCATAACTGTCCTTGCAAGATGCCCTGATACTTGCTGAAAGAGACACAGAATACAACACAGCGATGACACACAGCACACAACTACCTCAGACACAGACAGAAAAGGGACCTTGAGAAGAACGAAGTGCAGTACACTAAAGAGTAGAGAGGAATCAAGATTAGTTATGGGAGTCTAGGCCCAGGGGCAGCTTTGTAGAAAAGGAGGCAATAAGAATGGACACAAACATCTAAGCGTGGGTTTAGCAAGCAGACATGGGTACCATGAGGAAGGCAAGTGTTCTGGGAAAAGCATAAACACAGACAATGTGGGAGGGAAGTACAGACACATTAATGGAGTTGGCAGGACATTCTGGATTGTTTAGAGACACATGGGGGGGGGGAATCTTGAGCACTAAGGACAGTAAGAGTCACTAAGATGAAGGCTGTTAGCAGACTTGATAAAGAGGACCACGCCACTCACATGAAAAGAACCAGGGAGTTTACTCACAGAAGAGAGTTCTTTAGAATAAATACATTTAAAATATCCAATAAAAAACATGGTAAAAATAAGTGATAGCAACTTGGTGTGATGGTTTACATGAAATTTATCAAAATTATATTTACAATAAATATTGAGGAGGCCAGAGTGCTTGCTTGGGGTGGCTCCCAAAAGCCTATAACTTCAGTAACTCCAGTTCTGGGAATCCAATGCCCTCTTCTGGCCTCCATGAGCACCCACATACACACATAGCATACAGACACACACACACACACACAGAGAAAGAGAGAGAGAGAGAGAGAGAGAGAGAGAGAGAGAGAGAGAGAGAGAGAGAGATACCTTTAAAAAATACTAATGTTACAATCCAAAATGTTCTAATAGAAACTGTCAGTCCAATCTTAAATGTAATGGGATGTCTCTGAACAGAACCCATAATTTATATTCAAAGAGCATCAAAAATGTCCAATCAAGAAAGAAAACACATTTCAGAAATCTGAACACACTCAGATACTGCCCAATATTGAGTCAAAGTTCATCAAAACGTTCAGAATCAAACCTCATCATGGATAAAAAGTGCCACCACTTCCATGTATTGTTTCTATAGCGTTACCTAAGAGAAACAAATGGCAAACTTCAGACAATCACTCTTAACAGCTTTGCTATAGAGAACATAACACAAACAGTTCCTAAGCTATTAAGAACATTACTGAAGATAAATTCCAAGTTATTTTAATGTAGACTTTTCGACAAGCCCAAATTCTAGTCAGAAGCTGGATTTTGACAGACGCAGTCTCTGACAAGCACAGCTTCCTACAGAGATCTCCCCAATCTCCTCTCCCACAGAAGTCTAGGCTCACAGAAGTTTGTCTGCCTACTTGCCTTACTTTTCAGGGATAAAAATCTACCAATAATGCCACTGGGATTGTCTCCTAGAGTACCCTGGGATCTTGACTGTGGAGCTATACTCTAAATTCAAAGAGCCTACCGAAATGTCACTCTAGAACCTCAGTGTTAGCTGATAGATGCTATGGTCAGAGATAGACACTTTCTAGTGAGATTTTTCAGAGATCATAAGTGCCACCTGATAGACACATGTGTATAAGCATATTATACATAAATGACATACTGCAAAAATGTTCATTTTTATTTTGTGTATATATGTGTACATATGTGCCTGAGTACAAATGTGTGAAGTACAGGTGTGCAGGTGCCTGAAAAGGCCAGAAAAGGGTACCAGGCTTAAACTGGAGTCACAGGCAGCTGCACACTGCCCAATGTAGCACTGGGAACCAGGACCTTTGTCAGAGTAGAAGTACCATCTGTCCACACTGATTACATACTCTCATCTCCAGAGTTTCTGTGACTCACCTGGAGAGCAACCTGGAACCCACACTCTTCTCAGACGGGGCATGAGATGCAATTCCTGTGGAAGTTTGCTCCAGAAACATGCTCTCACCATTCTCAGATAGGGTTTTACAGGTTTAGTTTGAAGCACTAAAACATTATCATTTTTACAGAGAATAATTTGGCATAGTATTGCTGAAGAGCATAGAGGCAATATGTTCAAAGACCTCAAATTTTACTCATAACTAAGTCTAACAATGGCTTGGGCAAATTACACCTTCTTGAAGCAGGTGCATATGCATCTCCAATGTTGTTTATTGTCGGTTATTAAGACATTACATAAATTCTAAGTATCATATATTCAATACTCCACATGAAAATCATGAATCTCTACAGAGACAAAAGAAATTAAAGTGACTACTTTTCAAGCACTTGACATAGTATGTGCTCTCCCTGCATACATCACCCAAATACTTACTGTCAATGTTTCAGAAAGCTTAGAGTTTTCACTCTTCGGAAAATGAAAGGTATTTCAATTGGCCCAACAGACTGGGGCTATAGCTCAGTTGGGGAATGCTCACATAGCATGCATGAAGCTCCAGGTATCACCCATGTAGGTCTGCACCTGTAATCCCAGCATGTGTGAGGTAGAGGCCCCATGCTCTCAGGAGCTCAAGGGCATCTTCCACTACACAATGAATTCAAGACAAATGTCTGATACAGGAGATCCTGTCTCAAAAAACAAAACAAAACAAGACCCACCCCAAACAAACAAACAAACAAAAATCCCCTAGGTGTCACTGTCTCTTCTGCAGCATACCCTTCCTTCATTCCCAGTCTTGACTGCCCATGTTCACGACCTTAGAAGTCAGTCATACAGTAACATCTGCATTTGTCCTTCTACCTACTACAACTTGTTAAGTGCATCTATTAAATGTTTACCCACCACCTGCTCAGATACCCCCACTTAGAGTCCTACAGAAAACTCTTTAAAATGCAAACCTAATCCTTAGTCAGTTCTGGCCTGTGGCTCTCAAAATGGATATATTTCTCACTGTTACCTCCAACTCATCTTGGCGGTCCAGCCTTTGACCATCTAATGCTTCAGGTCACAGGCCTCCAGCCATATCTGCATGCTCTTAGCTCCCGGTACATTCTTTGCTCCTGGAAAGATACCCAGGTTTCTTCCCACTCTCTGACTAGGGCAACTGTCACTCACTGCACAGCTACAGATTCCTCCAGGAAGTTCTCATATCCAAAGACAACATTTAAGAAGTGCTTCCAGGAGGTGTGAAAGATAGCCCTTGTCCCCTCACTCTGTACAGCAATATGAGGTCTCACAATTTGTTTGTCCTTGGCCCAGACTACATTTTGTGAGTAAAGAAACCCATCTGTCTTGTTTTCTTTATGCTCCTAAATCAGTATGCAAAATATCTAATATGTATTAGCTGTAAATATATGTTAGTTGGAGGCTAACTGTATCAATCTCAAAACTAACTTGTTTACAAATATCGAAACAATAAAGGTTGATATTTACAAACAGCCTGAGATTACAAAAAAAGTCGAGCATACAGAAAACATTTTACCTAGAAATTTATCACCAACAGAATGTACACCATATGCCTAGTCTCCACTGGAATGTCCATGCCTTAGGACTTGAAGCTTTGGCTCATTCACAGCTATGTATGTGCAGCACCTAGAGCAGTGGTGAGTACACGGGAGGCCACTGCTAATCACCTGCTGGATGGAAACTAACACCGCAACTCTGTCAAAACTGAGATACTCTGGTTAAGTGGCAACCCTGATATTCCTGAGAAAAATCTTGTTAGTAGAAAAAGGTAGGACTCTGGGGGACCCCACTCTATCAGATAGAGAGGACTTCAGAACAAAGGGGATCCTAGTGACAGAAATGGCTTGGTCATCTGATACAAAATCCACCTTCACATATGCAAACTTTGTCAGATC